AGAATCCAGTCTCCGTTGGCTTGGGTCCTGTCGCCAGGCTGATCTAATCTCACGGCTTTTTCTCTGAGTTCAGCTCACACAGAGCTCTTTGGCGCCTGGGGAAATAACACAAACAGAATCCTGTGTAGCCACGAGGTTGGGTCTTTCTTTCCTTTTCTTTTTTCCTTCGGTGTCTTGTCCGCATCGGTTATTTTTCTAGACGGGCTCCGAGAGGGGAAGGGTGACGGCAGGCTGCAGAGGCCAGATAAGTCTCCTGTTTGTCTTCCTCTGATGCTGCTGGGCTGGGGCTGGCCCAGGTTGGTCCTGGGAGGAAATTCAGGACAATGGAGGAGTGGAGGACGGCGGGTCAGGCGAGGCAGGGAAAGGAGCTCAGGCGCCCGGCGTGAACATGGATTCATCCATCTCCGTTTAGGAAAGATTTTAGCCCGACAAGCTTGGTTCGGTTCTTTAGAACAGATCACAGATCATCAGAGTTGGAAGGGACTTTGTAGGTCATCTAGTCTAACCCACTGCCCAAGAAGGAGACCCTACACCATTTCTGACAAGTGGCAGTCCGGTCTCTTCTTGAAAGCCTCCAGGGATGAAGCTCCCACAATTTCCGAGGGCAACTTCTGTTCCATGGTTTGATTGCTTTCACTGTCAGGAAATTTCTCCTTATTTCCAGGTTGAATCTCTCCTTGATCAGTTTCCATCCATTGTTCCTTGTCCGGCCTTCAAGTGCTTTGGAAAATAGCTTGACTCCCTCATCCTCTCTGTGGCAGCCCCTCAAATATTGGAAGACTGGTTCTTCTCTACCTCAGTCCTGCTCAGGACGCGCTCAATTTCACAAAATCTGATTTAAATGGGGGATTGACCAAGAGCAGCTCCTGCCTCCCACCCTTGCTCCTTTCCTCCCCGTCCTTTGGTTTTAGTTCCAATCTGTATTTTTGCTGTGATTTTATTCGTTTGTTACTGCTATTTGTGGTTTTATTTTGATGTTGTCCATCGCCCAAAGTCAACTTGCAGTGAGATAGGCAGCAAACAAGTTGAATGAATGAATGAGCAAATAGGTTAGTAGGAAAGTAAGAAGAAAGAAAGGAAGAAAAAAGAAAGAAAGGTAAAGACAAAGAAGAGAAAGAGAGAGAAAAGAAAGAAAGAAAGAAAG